TTCCTATGGAGGCAGATATGTGACCTTGGATAAGCCACCAAGGTGCGCCCAGTGGTCACTTCTGCACTGATAAAATGAGCAGGTTAATACGTGTCCAGCAGAGCTTTAATAATAACAAAGGCATCACTGAGTGCCTGACATGATACTCATTGTTCTGCTCATGAGGAAACAGGTTTGGAGTCACATGGTCATATGGAGAAACCCATCTGTTTCCACGACACCTCCTGACTCCTCGCAATGCAGGGCGCCAGATTTCCTGGCCCACAGGGAGGACAACAAGCTTTGAATAGTCACTGAGAAAGGAATTTTTGTATCTTCCTTGGGGTCTTCCTTAGAGGCCAGTAACAACCCCTCCCCTATCCCACCCCCACCAGGACATCCCCACTCCAAGTCCTGATGCTTCTCTCCTTTTTCATTTGGGCAAAATGGCCCCGTCACCCCCCAAATCTCCCTCTCCTCCCTGCCTTCTGTCCTCTGAATGACAGATTAAAAGCACACCTGTATTTTCTGCAATAAGGACTATGCTCATGAGTGGGACAGCATTTTGGGGTCAAATTAGGTCAAGTCAGATCAGTGGCCTTGGAGCTGCTACAGCATTAGGTAACCAACTCAAGGCTGGTTCCGCCCGGAGCCCTTTAATTTTGGGGAGGAAGATTTAGCTGACTTGAAAGAAGGGGGAAGCAAGCTTGCAGAAAGAGATTGATTTCAGCGAAACACAAATTCATACTCACTAAATGCCTTAACACTTTGGGATCAATTAAAATGAGATAGAGAAAAAGGCACAAAGAAATAGAGGATAACAGGAAAGAAAGAGGGCAGGGAGGAGAGAGGCTTACCTTACTGGGGAACAGAACAGAAGGACCTCAATCCAGGGAGACAACTCCCTTGGGAAAGAGAGGAATCCTGGGGTGCTAGAAGATTTCATTTTGTAGATCTGGGGGACTGGTGGTCAATGGACCAAGGATCAAGGGTTCTCAGTTAGGGTCAGAATCAGCTTCAAGGGCACGAAGGTATGGGGTTAAACAGTCTAGACCCCACATCCACAGGTTCTGATTCATTAGGTCACTGGAAGACTGAGAATCTGCCCATCTAACCGTCCACAGGATCCAGTGCAGGTGGTCTGGGACCACACTTTGCAAAGCAAGAACTAGACTAGAGAGATCATGCTGTACCCCTGGTCACCAGGGTAGCAGCAATGACCACAGGCATTGCTTATCCCTGGGACTGCTGCAGGAAACCTGAAGACAGAAAGCAAAAAGACCCTTGCATCACCCCCTCCAGAGAAGATGAGGCCTCTTGGAGAAACGCTTAAGGGGAAGAAATCAACTAAATTTGGGAGATGAGGTTGGTCAGACAGATGGAGAAAGGGGTGGTCTTTGAGATCTCTCAGGCTCCTGGCTTGGGTAGCCTGCTTCCCAAGAAGCATGACTCAAAACAGGGCTGGACCACTTTGGAAGACAGTTTGGCAGTGTCTTACAAAAAACTAAACACACTTGCACCATATGATCCAGCCATTGTGCTCCTTGGTATTTACCCAAAAGGGTCAGAAACTAGCATACACACAGAAACCTGCACCCAGGTTTATAGTGGCTTGAGTCATAATTGCCAAAACTTGCAAACAACCAAGATGTCCTTCAGTAGGTGAGTAAAGAATCTGGGGTACATCCACAGGTGGAAGGAATATTACTCAGCCCTAAAAAGAAACTATCAAGCTATGAAAGGACATAAGGAAATGTAAATGCATATTGCTAAGTGAAAGAAGCAAATCTGAAGATGTTACATACTGTGTGAGTCCAACTTATGACATTCTGGAAAAGACACAATCATGGAGACAGTAAAAAGATCAGTGGCTCCCTGAGGCTAGCGGGGAGGGAAAAATGAATAGGTGGACACAGAGGACTTTTCGGGCAGTGAAACTACTTTGTGTGATACTGTAATGGTGGATACCCATCTTGATACATTTATCCAAACCCATAGAATGTACAACATTAAGGGTAAACTCTAATGTAAATTATAGTCTTTGGGGGATAATGATGTGTGGATGTAGGTACATGTACCACTCTGGTGAGGATATTGATAGTCGGGGAGGCTGTGCCTGTGTGTAGGCAGTGGGTACACGGGAACTTTGTACTCTCTGCTCAATTTTGCTATGAACCTAAAACTGCTCTTTAAAAAAATAAAGTCTATTGAAAAATAAAAATTAAAAACCAGGGCTGGAGATTGCCTCAGGTCCCATGAAATAGGGGAGTAGTGGGGAGGCTGAGTGGTGAAACATAGACAGGGGGCTAAAACTATTGGGGACATGGCAGGAGTAAACCCAAGCCACTGGCCAGGTGCCAATTTCTTAATGAGTGAGTAAAGTATGGTGGGGTAGATGGGTTGGGAAATCAAAACAAGAAGTTCAGGCTCCATTTCTCCCCACCCCTCTGGCCAGTGCTGATGTTATTACAAACATAAGCAAGATCTTAACGAGAGAGCAGTCTCTCTGCACTGTTTGAAATTCTCAAAGATCCCTTAATTCCCCCGAAAGAAAACAGTTCAAACAGGTGCATAAACTAGCCAGTTAAACAGGAAGCCCCAAGCATCATTATTCTCTGGGTGAGGCCTCCTAATGCCCCCTTAATGCAGAATCTCCCTGCCTGCTCCTAATAAGGGCTTCTCTCCTTCATGAGAGTCCTATAAAATGCATAAATATTCCTCAAGGAACTGAGAGAGCTCCTAACAGTCTTTAATAGCCATCATAAAATGAAGGATAAAATGTGTGAAAGGAGATTGGTCATGATAATAGTACAAGATACGTGAGCAATGAATTTCCTAACCCCTCCCTGGCTGAGTTTTCTGTAGAAAGATATTGCCTGGAGTCGGGAGCCTGCCCGGAAGAGGCTGGGGAGGGGATAGCCAGTCATTAGTCAGAGAATCCTGGACCAGTTGAACTGGGAAAGCTGAGGTCTAGAGATGGGAAAGGATGTGCCTAAAGTCATACATCAAATGACAGACCCTAATCCAGAATGACCATGATTTCCTGTAGTCCAGATGGGGTATATCCTAGGAATTTGCATTGTTCCTTTATTCCCTGGACGATCAAGATAAAAACTAGTGTATACTAACCAAGCCTGTGACTGAAACAGCTTTGGCCCTGGCTACACGGACTCCCCCAGCCCCTGTGGGGGCCAGACGCCAATGTGTTGATGGGGCCCACGGCCTAAGCACTGCCCAGAAACTGGAAAGGGACTAGAGAGCATGTTAATAAGGCAGGGATCAAAGCCAGGACACAGAGTTGAACATCCACAGACCAGGAAAACAAGGGCAGGCTCCAGACAGCTGTTTTCCAGAATGGGTGCTATGATGGGCTTGCTATGAACCCCCCAGGGACATGGCGCCTGGGGAGGATGACTCAGTTGGGAGAAGAGCTCACAGCCGACAGATAACAAAGTACCTAGCCCATGTCCTAGTATGTAACAGGAGCTCAATAAACAGCAGGTCTTGAGAGGTATAGCACTGAAGTTCTACAGAGGTGCTGCACTGGCCAGGAACTGCTGATTATTGAGCTCTTATTGCATGCCAGGACATGAGCTAGGGGCTTTGCATGTATAATGGCATACAGTGCTAAAATTGAGTCTAACCACATTGACCCACAGATATAAGTATGCACTTAGGCTGATGAAATAATGTCCAGACAACACAGCCTGGATCCAAGCACTTGTTCCTGCTCCCTGCCTCTGCCCACTGGTCACCTAAGTCTTAGGTTTTGCCTTATGATCTACTGCCTCATTTGTCTTGACAGTAGAATGGCTTCTTATGTTTGACCCTCAGTACCTTCAGGACATAAGACTTCCTGTTCCTCAGACTCAACCCACCCACTTGCCCAGCTATGGTTCAGGGATTCCTATCCCAGGGCTTGCTTCACTTCCTGGGGTCCCAGCCCAGCCCATCCTGCTCATAGCACATGAGGTCCAGGAAGCCACATTTCATGTTCCTCTGCCCATCCAGGTTGACTAAAAGCTGGCTATGAGAGGCTTCACAGCTGCAAGTCAACTGGAAAACTTCAGCTGAAGCCTTCATTGCACAAAAGTCAAACCCAAACAGAGATGAGAGGTTGGGGCAAGTTGAGAAGAATAAAGTTTTCTTGTAAGTTTTGCTTCTAGGCCAGATGAGGGACACCTGACAATGTTTTCTGTGGATAACCTAAGATTCTGATGAGAACCAATGTCATCCTAAAGGTCCTCAACAGCAGGCCAAGACACAAAAAAGAAATCAAATGTAGAAAGACTAGAATAGATAAATAGAACCATCATTATTTCTAGAAGATGGGCTTCATGGAAAACCCAAAAGAATCTAGAATTATTAGGCCAAGTGCAGTGGGTCAAAGCCTCCCAAAGTGGTTGGCCTGTAATCCCAGCACTTTGGGAGGCTGAGGCAAGAGGATCATTTGAGTCTAGGAGTTCAAGACTGGCCTGGGCAACATAGATAGACCCCCGTCTCTACATTTTTTTTTTTAATTAGCAGGAGGTGGTGGCATGTACCTGTGGTCCCAGCTACCCAGGAGGCTGAGTTGAGAAGATAGCTTGAGCCTGGGATTTCAAGCCTGTGATGAGCCATGATTGCACGCCACTGCACTCCAGCCTGGGCAACAGAGCAAGACCCCATCTCCAGAAAAAATAATAAAAGAATCTAGAATTAGAAAAAAATAAACCTAGCAAAATTATTTGATATAAGAGTGATATACAAAAATCAATATTTATTTCACCATCAAATGGATATAAATGACAATGTTTAATAATACAATTTTTGGTAACAACAAGATTCATCCTTAGCCTAACAAAAGATGCTAAAGACCTTTATGGAAGAGATTGGAAAGACTTGTTGAAAGACACAGAAGACCAAAATACACGAATAAATAGACCTACCTCATGGGCAGGAAAACTCAATGTCATAAAAATACCAATTTGACAAAAATTGACATATATTTTCTATATTAATCTAATAAAAATTCCCAACAAAGTCCAGGAGCGCAGCTGGCCGCGGCGCTCCGCTTTCCCAGCGCCCGCAGCTGAATCGCAGTCCGCAGCCCGCAGCCCGGCGCGGACTCCCATCGCCGCAGTCGCCCTCCGGCGCCATGTCGCAGAACGGAGCGCCCGGGATGCAGGAGGAGAGCCTGCAGGGCTCCTGGGTGGAATTGCACTTTAGCAATAATGGAAACGGCAGCAGCGTTCCAGCCTCGGTTTCTATTTATAATGGTGACATGGAAAAAATACTGCTGGACGCACAGCATGAGTCTGGACGGAGTAGCTCCAAGAGTTCTCACTGTGACAGCCCACCTCGCTCACAGACACCACAAGATACTAACAGAGCTTCTGAAACAGATACCCATAGCATTGGAGAGAAAAACAGCTCACAGTCTGAGGAAGATGATATTGAGAGAAGGAAAGAAGTTGAAAGCATCTTGAAGAAAAACTCAGACTGGATATGGGATTGGTCAAGTCGGCCGGAAAATATTCCCCCCAAGGAGTTCCTCTTTAAACACCCGAAGCGCACGGCCACCCTCAGCATGAGGAACACGAGCGTCATGAAGAAAGGGGGCATATTCTCTGCGGAGTTTCTGAAAGTTTTCCTTCCGTCTCTGCTGCTCTCTCATTTGCTGGCCATCGGATTGGGGATCTATATTGGAAGGCGTCTGACAACCTCCACCAGCACCTTTTGATGAAGAACTGGAGTCTGACTTGGTTCATTAGTGGGATTACTTCTGAGCTTGCAACGCAGCTCACTGAAGAGCTGTTAGATCCTGGGTGGCCGCGTCACTTGTGTTATTTGTTCTGTAAATGCTGCATTCCTAATTTAGTAAAACAAAACAACAGACACTAAAATCATGTTGATCTATAATTATACCTATGAGGTCAATTAATAAGCATGTCAGACTGATTAATATCTATTGTAAAAATTTGGTAGTGAATTTGGATATTAGATATAAATACCTGAATATAATTTTAATATCCTATTCATGATGTATGTTGTATTTTAAAAATTATCTGCAACCTTAATTCAGTTGAAGTACTTTATATTTCAAAAGAATGAATAACATTGATAATAAAATCGCTACTTTAAGGGGTTTGTCCAAAATAAATATTGTGGCCTTATATATCAAAAAAAAAAAAAAAAAAAAAAAAAAAATCCCAACAAAGTAACTGCAGAACTTGACAAGTTGATTTATAAATAAATAAATGTATATGTATATGTATATGTATATGCATGTTCTGCCTGCCCAAATAAGAAAAATGTAAATTGAAACTACACTGAGATGCCAATTCTCATCCAAAAGTTTTCTAAAAATATGTGCATTAAAAAGCACTTTTATACAGATAGTAAGAACTCAAAATGGCATTAGTGCCATATAGAGGAAATTGTACAGAAGTTAAGATTGATGAAGTTAAATAAAACCATGTAATCACAAATTTAAGTTGGAAGTATAAGAACGCATGACATATCTTTAGTCTGGATGTGCAATATATATATTCTCTATCTCTATCACTGAAATGGTCCAGAAACAATTACTAAGCAATAGCAAGAAGCACTCTTAATGCCGAGATTGTAGTTTTTCTAAGCAGAATTTCAAACTACTAGGAACCAGGACTTCTTGGACAAATGGCTGATTCTAAGTCTGGGGTAGGAAATGTCCAATATGAACCTGGAACACCTTGTAATTTCAGATTTCAAGAAAAATAACAAAGACTACTGGGTCACGTAAAAAGATTTCAGGTGCTAACTTAAAGTTCCCACTGGCCATAGATGGGAAAATTTGGACATCAATGAAGATAATGACTATAATAGATTAAAACACAACTAAAAGATTTAGCCCTTGAATTCATAATATTTTAGTAAACTTATTTGTTACTTTTGGAGGATGCTGATGCCCCAAGTCATTGTCCTGAAACCCAGTACAAGGAAAAGAATCAAGCATTTTTCTTGTTTTTCCTCTACAAATTCTATGTGAAGGTAACCAAATAGTTAACTAGAGGAAATTTCTCTTTACAAATTATTCTAGCTAACAAGTGAGAAAGAGTGTTAGAATTAGAACGCCACCATTTTTGCATTCCTAATGATTAATGGATCTAGGCCATGATGACCAATGGCTGCTATTAACACAAAAGAGAGACAAATAAATATTATGCGCCTCCTGATGGAAATGCATTCTACCACCTGTGAAGTAGTCTTGCCTATCTTCCTCCTCAAAATGAACCTGAATCTGATCAACTCTCAAACTATCTATTTACAAAAAATAAAGTGAATGGAGGAACATGTTAAATAACACTACGGTGATATCATAGTACAATCCAGACTATGAACAACTCTTGAGATGGATGTTACTCGGATCTTGACGCAAACAGCTTTTTAAATATAAAAGAGTTTGAGAAATTTGCTTTGTTGACTGGATATGTGAAGTTACTAAGTTTTAGACTTGGTAACAGTGTAATGCACATTTTTAAGAGTTCTTAAATGCACACATGGAAACAAACGGAGTCAAGACACCACAGAAGCTAATGGTAAGGAAACTTGCCCCACCAGTCATCAAGAATAATTAGAATTGGTGCAGGGCTGGACAAATTGGCTAATGGAGCAGAGAGTTGAAAAACAGATCCATTATATGTACACAATCAATTTTTTTGACAGAGCTAATTTTTCAGGTGAGTGGGAGACAGTAAGACTAATCAATAATTGGTACTGCAACAATTGAATTGATTATCCACATGGAAAAATAAAGTCATTCAAGAAAAGAAGAAAAGACTGACGAATTCAACTATCCTGAAATTAAGAATTTCTGTTCATCAACATACCTGAGAGAAAGTGAGAAGATGGCTCAAACTGGGAATGAAATTTGCCAAGTATATAAGAGACTAAATTATTTGAGTCCAGAATATGTATTTCACTCCTAAAAATCAAGGAGAAACACAATCCAAATAAAAACTATGGAAAAGACTTGAACAGGTTTTCTCAACAATAAAAACTAGAATAGCTGACACTTTTTTTTAAAGATATCTCATTATGTAATGAAGAAAATGTAAACTAAAAACTAGAGAGAATATATATAATATACCCAATTCAAGAATCTGACAGTATAAAGTGCTAGTGAAGATGTACATTAATGAAAAATTATGTACACTACCAGGGAAGAGTATAAATTGACTCAAGCACTTTGAAAAGCAATTTGGCATTGGCTAAGAGAGTCTGGTTTGAGTAGTACATATGGCACAGTAATCCTAATCTTAAGTAGATGCTACATGTTCATCCAGATATGTTTAAAATAATGTTTGTAGCATACTTTTTCTAGAAAAAGACTGGAAACAATCCAAATATTAATAGAATAGTGAAAGTGTGGTATAGTTACACAATGGTATAGTATACAACAGTGAAAATTAATGAAGTACATAGTACAGTACATAGACCATCATGAATGAACTTCACAAACTTAATGGTAAGAGTTGTATGCAAGTTGCATGAAAATTCAGAATATGCATAAGAATCTCATAGCATGATACCATTTTTATATAGTTAAACCAAAAATACCTACCAATAGCTTGTTTAGGGGTATATGCATATACATATAGGGAATTTTCTAAAGAAAAGTAGGTGAATGATGAATACAAAATCCAGAAAATCTATATACAATTATGTATACGGAAGCGAGGCAAAGCTTCAATGGTGATAGTCTTGTAATATTTTTATATCAAGTTTTGAGTTCATGGATGTGTCTTTCATTACTACATTTAACAACTTAGATACACTATATATTTGTTTTTGCAGCTAGGAAATGGTTTTTAACGATGGGGTTGACTCACTAGGGCTAGCACAGGTCTGGTTTCTGCATGGAAGAATGAGACTTGATGCTGGGAGGGGAAAAGGACGCTGTCTTTAGAATCGACAGTATAGCTGGAAAGACCTGCATGCCAAGTGGATCTTACTGAGGCAAACAGACATTCCCGAATGTGTGAGGTTAAGGAGAAAGAACTGTTCCTGGGCTGGAAGGAATATCTGAAGTTAAGATTGCATTTATCACCAAAACTTGGCACCACCTTTGCGAGGGAAACAGAGTCCCTGCTCTAGTGGGCAAGTGCAGGTTCACAGCTGGATAACCTAGTTTAGATTGATGAGCAATGTGTGCTTTCACAGACGCTCCTTTCTGCTTGCTTCAAAGGTTGATGCCTCCAGGTACACAAGTTCCCAGGAGAGGGGTGGGCGGCATGGAAGGTAGATGTCTAAGAGGCTTCCAGTCATCTCTTCCAAAAACATTTTGGACACCTAACCCATGTCAAGCACTTCTCTGGGTGCTGGAGCCACTGAGATAAGCAAGATAAGGTCTTTGCCGTTTATCACACCAACTGGAAAAAGGGAGGAGAGGAGAGGGAGCCCACATGGGAGAATGGCAGGCATTTCCTCTGGCAAAGGTCCTGTTCCTTGATCCTAATGTCAAAATGAGGTGAGAAATGTGACTCAGGGAAACTGAATGTGCTCACAGCCACCAGCTGCATGTCTGTACTAGGTGGTTTTTAAGCCTCAAAAACAAGATTGATACCCAGAGTATTTTCTCTCCAGATCTTCCTAGTTTCCTTATCATTTCCTGAGAAATAAAAAGAAATAAATTATCTTTAAGTCACCAATGTTTACACTGATATAGCAAATGAAAGAATGACGACGGAAGGACTTCTTGTAAAACCAGAGAAAGGATGGAGTACCAGGGGTTTGAGGAGGACCTGGACGTGGTATCCTCAATTTGCAGCCCATCTGACATTCTGCAGTGGATTCATTTTCTACTCACACAACCAGGCAGACGAAGTCTGGAGGAAATCAATGTAATTTTTGTGTGTGCTGAAACCCATTTCTTTCTCCTGGAAGAAGATCCCCCACGAGGCCAGCTGGGGGGTACCAGAAACCCATTTATGTGGGGAAGTGGTGGGAGGAGGTTGTCCCTGATCAGCCTCTGGTGGCTGAACTACCCAGGACCAACCGGGTAGGGTTGCTGTCATGTAAGTAGAGTCAAGTAAGTTGCCAAGGGTCCAAGAGACAGGTGAGGCCATGAGAATTTGAGGAGGCACATTTGATATGACGTGACCACAGAACCCTGGATAGTCTCAAGGGTAGAAGCTCTGATGATGGACTGTGCAGATGAGAATGGAAACAGGATGATTCCTTGAAAATCTGTGCAAGGAGGTGCTGTGGTTCTGGCTTCCCCCTCCCCATACAATCAGGCATCTAGGTGGCAGCTCTTTCCCCAGCCTGGCAGAAGACTCAGGTATTGTTGCTCTCTAGGAACAGGGAACTAGAGGAGCTCCACACTCACAGTCAACAGAGGCAATGTGGGGCTGCAATGAGGCACGGTACTAAAAATAGGAGGAATAAGCAAAGTTGGCAAAAGTTGAACAGGGAGACACTAGGACCACACACAGCCCAGCTTGAATTGTCACTCAGGAGATTAGAAAATTCCTCCTTGGGCAAACCGAACCTCCCAAGGGAAAAGACCTACTGATACTAACATTTGGGGTGGAGGGAGGGAGGCAGAGAAATTGTCAGGTCATAGCTCCATTTCTGGACAACAAAGCCCCCAGCTAACAAGCTCTGCCTGACCACACTAATATTCCCAATCATCACTTTGACATTTCCCCCAAACATGTGTGTGGACAGCCAAGAATCACTAAGTATTTGAGGAGTCTCTCAGAGCAAAGCAAACAGAAATAATAAAGGAACTAAGACATACATACAAGAAGAAAAAACAATCACAATCTTAGTATCCTTAAAGGGAGTATATTAGGGTTCTCTAGAGGGACAGAACTAATGGAATAGCTATATATATAAAGGAGAGTTTATTAAGTATTAACTCACATGATCACAAGGTCCCACAACAGTCCCTCAGCAGGCTGAGGAACAAGGAGAGCCAGTCCGAGTTCCAAAACTGAAGAACTTCAAGTCTGATTTTCGAGGGCAAGAAGCATCCAGCACAGGAGAAAGATGTAGGCTGGGAGGCTAGGCCAGTCTCTCTTTTCACATTTTTCTGCCTGCTTATACTCTAGCCATACCGGCAGCTGATTCAATTGTGCCCACTCAGATCAAGAGTGGGTCAGCCTTTCCCAGCCCACCAACTCAAATG